CAATAAAACGATTTTTCGTTCCTCAGCCTTCTTTCTGTTTATTGTTGACTGTTGACAATTGTATCCAATTTGTTCCTCTACAATCCATTAACATACTATTCATCCATATAGTCAAATACTAATATATGAACACTAAATTATCAACTTTGTACTTAGGTATCCTTTCTAGATGACATTTTCACAACAATGATTTTTAGAAATATAAAAAAATCCTTCAGTTTAGGTAAGCAAAATGAAAAATAATGTTATTAAAAGAAGTCACCAAGGCATTTTATTAATAATAATAATAAATGTTCTTTATTGGTTAAAACCAAATGGCCATCGACCGAGGTTCTTCAGCCAGTTTTATTAATATTATTATTCATTGGCACGTTTGGGACAAATTGTGAATTTCAATTTTTCTCAACCTGAGTGACCAAGTTTTGTTGGGCTTGTTAAGAGGAAGAATTAAACGCACGCACCTAGTACTGAATTGGTCCCTATATGAATCCCTGAGTATCCCTGTACGAAAATAATGTTATATTTCTTAGAAACGCCCTGATAAGTATGATGCACGTTGAATTTGAGCTGCCCAACGACAGAATTTGAAGTTTAGAAAATCTTTGATATGTCACTTTTTCAATGTCAACTACAATGTGGTGGAAAATCATAACATGACATCACTTGTTTTCAATTTCAAGTGTTTACATTTTCACGTTGTTAGTTACATTCATCATATTGATATCAACAATCAACAACAAAAATCACAGATCTATTAGTTCTGTGAGAAAAATGAATGTATAATAATCATATTTTCATGGTGATTTTGTTCAAAAGTTGACATTGAATTCAAATCATTTTTGATAGTCAATGAAGGAAATAATTAAAATGATATAAGAAAAATCGAAAAAAAAAACAAACAAAAAAACTACTAGGACTCAGAAATCATCCAAATTTATCAATGTGGTTATGTCAGAAACAATCAGTTGTAAACAACAGATCCACTGTGTTTTGTTTGAAATCAAATTTCGGAGAATACATTCTCAACCATTTCATAGGATACCAAATTTGAGAAGGTGAAAATGATTTAGATATCGAATATGCAAAATTCAATACCATTGCTATGGCATAAATGTTCGATATAGCATCCGCGTGGGGGCACTACACATTTTCTAGTTGTATTTCAGAAAGCAACAATTTCAGAATAGTAAATAATTCAATTGCAGAAAGCGTCAATTGTATTTCAGAATAGTCAACTGCAATTTAGAAAGTGTCCTTTGTATTTCAGAAAATATCGTTTGAATTTCAAAGGTGCAAGTTGATTTTATTTTTCAGTAACTGAATCATTCTAATTTTTTATATATTTTTTTGTTCCTATTTCAATGTTTGTACCCTTTGATTTAGTTTTCAAAACTTTTTTCTTCATTGTGTTATTGTTAACAAATGATGTTATAACCAACGTAAGTTACGTATCGCTTTTTTTCCTATATATTGGATATTGGACATAGACCCCCAGGGATGAATCTTGATTATGCCACTTCCTTACAGACACAGATTTATATTTTCAGTGGGATTACTGAGATCTATTAGGTACCTCCAGCCGTCCACAAATATTTCTTTTGAATGAAAGGGTGAATTCGTGTAGTGATGAATTAAACATCAAACATTCGGAAAGTCGTGAAGGAAACCTGAATAATTGTTTAATTTTTCTTTATGTTTACAACAACTGCTTTTTTAAGGAATGTTTTGCCTTCAGGTCAAATATATTTCTCAGGAGCAATTTAAACACAGAAGATATTGATCATCTTAGGCACAGTTTAAGGATAGTTATTCCTTGAACTATGTAACCTTCTCAAACAAAAAGTTATGAGAAATTCACAAGAATGCGAATTCATTTTTGGCAACATTCATTAAACAACGGAAGGAAGACCACATTCATTAAAGTTCAATCTTAGAGCCGGTTTCTGTACTTCTAGATAGAAAGTATTTCTTTCAGTAAATAAACACACACATACAGTCATGGAATCTACTTGTTCAAGTAAAAAAAGGGATAGCCAATGTGAAAGGAAAAGATGGTGTGCCTACTAGCATATTATGTGACGTCATCTGGGATACCAATGACAGCTGCTAGTCAAAGACAGATACAGTTGCCATAGGCGTGCGCTATGAATTTTATTGAGTTTATTGAAATATCTATGAGTTTCTAGATCTGTCTGGAAAAAATTCAATTCACATAAATGTACCTATTCATTCGATTTAACCATTTATTTCCTTATCTTGCGGTAATTCACAATCGCAAATACATACGAATTATTATGCATTGCCAATCCCATCGAATGATCCGCCATTATGTCATTTCTGACAGATTCAATTTTTTATATATTTTTTTGTTCCTATTTCAATGTTTGTACCCTTTGATTTAGTTTACGAAACTTTATTCTTCATTGTGTTATTGTTAACAAATGATGTTATAACCAACGTAAGTTACGTATTGCTTTTTTTCCTAAATATTGGATATTGGACATAGACCCCCCAGGGATGAATCTTAATTACGCCACTGCCTTACAGACCCAGATTTATATTTTCTGTGGGATTACTGAGATCTATCAGGTACCTCCAGCCGTCCACAAATATTTCTTTTAAATGAAAGAGTGAATTCGTGTAGTGATGAATTAAACATCAAACTTTACTCGGAAAGTCGTGAAAGAAACCTGAATAATTGTTTAATTTTTCTTTATGTTTACAACAACTGCTTTTTTAAGGAATGTTTTACCTTCAGGTCAAATATATTTCTCAGGAGCAATTTTAACACAGAAGATATTGATCATCTTAGGCACAGTTTAAGGATAGTTATTCCTTGAACTATGTAACCTTCTCAAACAAAAAGTTATGAGAAATTCACAAGAATGCGAATTCATTTTTGGCAACATTCATTAAACAACGGAAGGAAGACCACATTCATTAAAGTTCAATCTTAGAGCCGGTTTCTGTACTTCTAGATAGAAAGTATTTCTTTCAGTAAATAAACACACACATACAGTCATGGAATCTACTTGTTCAAGTAAAAAAAGGGATAGCCAATGTGAAAGGAAAAGATGGTGTGCCTACTAGCATATTATGTGACGTCATCTGGGATACCAATGACAGCTGCTAGTCAAAGACAGATACAGTTGCCATAGGCGTGCGCTATGAATTTTATTGAGTTTATTGAAATATCTATGAGTTTCTAGATCTGTCTGGAAAAAATTCAATTCACATAAATGTACCTATTCATTCGATTTAACCATTTATTTCCTTATCTTGCGGTAATTCACAATCGCAAATACATACGAATTATTATGCATTGCCAATCCCATCGAATGATCCGCCATTATGTCATTTCTGACAGATTCAAATTGAGAAGTTGATATTTGATAATAGTTGCCTATTATTTATCCGATTCCTCCACCGAAATCACTTTAAGTGTCATTTTATTTGCGACTTTTTCGATTCTGCTTGCTACTTTCCATTCCGTCTCACTACAAGGAATGACGTGGAATGACTGTTGACAGCTGTCAAAAAATAAATCAAATTATTCTCACGATCTCAAAAAAGTTTGTCCAATCACCACAATAACTTTTTTAGATTCTCAACTCTAGTATTATGATTTTGAAATTATTCGGAGCCCCAATATATAAATATAACCTATATCATCTGTAATATGTCAATTCTCTCATGCAAGGTTATGAAATATCTCGTTTTATTTTTAAGTCATTCTTTTCCCACCACCAACTACCAGAATGGAACAAATAAAACGCAATCATTGCTTCTGCTTTGACATCGACAACAACAGGAGTATAATTTTTTGCCGATTTGTTATTCAAATATTTGCTGCAATTTATATTTTTTGAGAAATTACGTCTTTTGAATTGATTTCAATTTATTTCCAACTTGATCTTCGACGAAAGATGTTCTGTAGGAATGTCTTCTTGTTTCAAATATTTGTATACTTATCGTTTTTTGAAGGTGCGTGGAGGTACCAACAACTTCACTTTCAAACTTGTTCGAAAAAGGTTTGAATGAAAATGTTGGGAACAGATACGTGCTCGAATATGATATGATAGGTAAATATACTTTGGGATGAGGATATAAGGAAAATTAGATAGGCACCATTATTAAAGTTAGTTCATTCTCGTTCGACAGTAAGCTTCCACTCATCTTTTCATTAGGTCTCCATCCTTGGAAAAAACAGAAATATTCAATATCTGTGCCATTCCTATATTTGTTGGAATTATCATAACCAGAAACGACACAAGTGGGCATTTTGAAACTATTTCATTTACACATCGATCACGAAAACAAATAATAACAATGAGTTATATCTCAGTTGACGTCATGCGCAGAACAAGATGAGTTTAAACTTTCTGTCGAGCACACCAACTTCTCCTTCCACTATGGGGGTAGCTGATTTCATCCACTCAGTGCACTTCAGTAGGCACCTTAGTAAAGGCTCAAATAAAAAAATGGCCCAAGGAATATACTCCTACATTTTTAAAATAACATCGGAGCACTCTAAATATTAGCTTATTGAACCACATAAGCCATGTAACATTTTTTCACGAAGTTTTCCGGGCGAAAATGAAAAATGACTGTTTATTGTTTCCCTCCAGTATTTGAATTTTTTAATGGCAATGTCAATATGAACTGATAGTTGGCGTCAAAATCAAGAATGTGAAAATATGAAAACAGAAATGATACCTAAAAACACGTTCGCAACAATGAATATTCTCAAATGCAATAAATACTAAATTATATTCATATAAATAACACGGAATATGATATGTAGGTAATTTGAGTTTTTAGAAAGATATTTAAATGAAAACATGTAATAAAGTATTGTTAGTGCTACCAAAAACATTTCGTGAAGAGCTAATACATAACAGAAGATAAAGATTATGATTTTGCAGTTCCACAAATAATTGCAATTTTTTATTTGAAGTATTATGGCAACCATTGATCCCAAAAAAATATGTCTTCTTATCCTATGCCATAATTCAAAAGTCATTCAATTTAAGAATCAATATACATATTAATTTCATAGATTTTAATGATTTTATGGAAAAACGATGAATTCCATAATACCTCCAATCTCCATTCAAGAACCTAAACCTGCTTGTGAATATTAAACAAAAAAAAATTGATCTCATATTCTTCAACCTTTATAATAAACGTAAGCAATGAGACCTCCGCCTAATAGAAGAGAGCCTCCTACGATTAAAGGTAAATATAAAGACCTCTTCAGTTGCGTCCATTGCTCGTTGACTTGTTGCCGCCGCTTCATGTCCCTCACTTGGGACTCCATCGTTTCCTTTCTTTGTGCCCTGTTTCGTTGTCTCACTTCGTATGAAGTACTGAAAAGATACATTACATGTTACTGAAGTACTATAAGTCAACAAAATACAAGTATTTTTCAAGAAAAACCCTGCAAAATACCTAGCAACAATGATAATATCAACATTTCAACTTGCAAAAATAAAGGGAAAGAAAGGAAAATTAAAAGAAAATTATTTGGAGATCTTTGAAAGTAATCATTCAAACAATATCTCGACCTCAGATCAACAAGGAACCCTAGATTGGCCCTTCCAATGTTTTGATACGAAGATACACTCGGGTTTATGCAGGTCTAAACGATACACAATAGCTTCTAGTACAAAATATTTGTCAGCTTTTCTAAACCAATATTTTCGAAACTGGAATTTTCGCTTCGGTTTCTAAGAAAAATGACTGCAACATCATGTTGCCATAGTGTTTAAATTTTGATAAAGTAAATGATCTGAAAAACATATTTTCAGATGTGGTGTTCCAGACATGCGACAAGATCAAAGTTGAAGATATAGTCGAAAAATAGACAAATAGGTACTTATATTATATTATTAAATGAACATTTTTGTAGTTCGAAAAAGAAAAACTTACAGTACATCCCATTACTTTCAAGACAAAATCTCTATTATAACTTGTGATTTCAAACTTCTGTATAAAATAAATATCTTCTGGAATTTATTCAAGTAACTATACTTATATGGATATTTTGACTAAATATATCATAATATTATCAAAGTAAACAGATAAAATTTAAACTTCACAATTGTTAGAAACACTCCAGAGATACCCACCAAATTACATTAATCACTAGTATTATATTATCATTATTATTATATATGTTGTGTGATTCAGTACCATCACCCCGTATTATGTTTAGAATATCGACGGGTGCTGGTTTTATGACTAAGAGATATTGAATGCATGAAGAAGTTACATAAGCAAGATAAGAGAGGGTGACAGGGAATATTTAGGATGACTAGTAGAGTTGAGACTAGAGAGCTGTAAAGGTGTTATTGTCCTAGAATACAAACTTGATATTTGAAGACGTGGATATTATTTAAGCAACTTATCAGTTGTCCCCCCTTAACACAATTAACATTTTCAATAACTTCACTAATTGAGAGTTTGGTTTTCCAAATTCATAGTATTCACCACAACCATACAACAGCGTACATACATTAGACAAGTAGAATCAAAGTCTGAATTGGGCGAAAAAAGCCTGTAATTAGTAAGGTTGCGGTTCCTCTATTATCTGATAGATGCCAGCACGCTCGGACGTCGAAGACGACTCGATGTTGCCGAGCTGATTATATCGTGGTAACTTTCGTACTTCTTGAATTCTAGCCTCTCGGGAAAAAATACATTTAAACGATTAATCGTGTGCTGTTGAATATCCTATGAATTTATTGATTTATTTCAAACTGAGGACATTTTTCTCATTACAGTTTCAACATTATTTGGTGATATGATTATGGACAATATATTCTTAGTAAAATGGCCAAGTAAATCTGTCAACTATGTGAAACAATTTCATGACTTCTCAATTTCTGTGTTTTATGAGTTCTGTGTTTCTTTTCCGTTGTGCTTAGCAGTGGTGTAGCGGTAGATTTATTGTATATGTTGTTGTGAAGGATATTTTATTGGATTGTTATTTTGCTATTGTGTTTGGTGTTTACAGCGTGTGTTTTTGAATTCTTGTCAATTGCTGTGCTGATTTTTTGAGACTATTCAATGGATCGACCAAGTTACGTGTGTGGTGTGGAAGGTTGTTATTCCAACAACCTGTCCATTGGAGTACATTAGGTTCCCTAAGAATCTTATTAGGTAAGTAAAGAGTAAAAAGGTGAAAATAAAACTTTCAATAAATAATAAAAGCTGCTTCTATAGATAGTTGTTGAGTTTTTTGAAGAAGTTTTAACTTCAATTGCATTAGTGTTTAGAGGCAATAAAAGTTCACCATTATGGCTGATTTATATTCTCTAAATCCTCAAGAACATTCTTCGAAGATTTTTTTTTCAATACTCTGAAATGATTTTAAATGCAACTCTGATATCATAATAGGTGTATAATTTCTCTTTACATTCTCTAAGGTGCCGAGAATGAGCCTACAGATGTGGAATCCTCCACAAGTATGAAGGTCAACTCCACATGCTCTATAATTCTCATTATAGAGTATGTTCATTACATTTTGAATCAGAAATGATAGTTGGAGAACTCAGGAAGCATCTGAAAAAGCATTATTCATTGAAATTCGCTAATAAAAATTTCAAAACTATCAACGAAAGTGGAGAAAAACTACATAGAAAAATAGTTATTTGGAGACATGAATGCGAATTGATACTTGAAGAATACCTTACTCAAAATTACAAATTTGATATCCATTTGGGGAAGTACAAGAATACTTGTATTGATTTTGTTTTATTTATTTTTACACATTGACATAACTCGTTAATTAGTTCTTTATTTTTGTTATATGTATGTTATATGTATATGTTCATATATCCTTATTAACAAAGATGTTTCTTGGGGTAACGATGGAGGAAACTACAACAATTATATGTGAATAAAATTTATAAATGTTACAATAGATATTTTCGTTCAGCACATCCCAAAAGTGCAAAGTAATAGTTTCTACTATGATTTAACCCAAAATGAATAATTTGTTAGATTTTCAACAATTACTTGTGGAAACTCGACACAAAAAATTGTGATTGTCCCGTTTATTTATGATTTTTGAATCTGAATAATTACTACCTATGTATATAAAAGGATAACACAGATTGTCATAAAAAAATACAAATTTTTCTACTTTGTAACATTCTTGATTATATTCGTAATATTTTAAAGAAAGTGCCATGAACATCTAGATACTGGTTCAGTTTTGTTCCAAATATGATTTTCTGGATGACTTAAATAATATTAAATACTGTCTGTAGGTTAATCGAGGAGGTGGTACATTCATTTTACTTGGTTCTTTGGGATTTTCTCTCCTCGTTTCTATAAAATAAAAGTATTCGTATTATTTCAATATATTTGTAGAGGGACAAATCAGATGATTTGCCCCAAAATGTCACTGCGTTTAACAAATTTTTCTATCAGGGAGTCTAAAAGAAAAATCCAGTAGCTTGTCAGTGACAATTTGTTTGAAAAAAGTTTTGAAGGAAAGAAATATAGATATATTGAAAAAATATCGAATTTGTACTTATCTTTGGACGTTTCGGGACCGATTCTGCTCCCGTTCTCAACATGTAAATGCAAATTATTTTTCTTTGAAATTTTTGCTGCGTATAGTTTGACACTTTTCAATGTCATACTGATTTGTCCCTCTACAAATATATTGAAATAATACGAATACTTTTATTTTATAGAAACGAGGAGAGAAAATCCCAAAGAACCAAGTAAAATTAAATAATATTATTTCGAAGTATATCCTGAATTCCTGTAAGAATATAAATTCAATCAAATAAGCTCGAATCCGAGATATGTGGTACGCCCATGGATACAATCATGATCTAGTACAGTTGAAGTACATTTTCACGTAGCGACATCTACAGAATAATAGCGGAAGCGCAACCTTAGAATGTATGTTAGGTGGTTGAAGGTCATTGGCGGCCGTTTTCAGAGATCAAAGGATTTTCAGACTTTGCACCTACTTGTCTAATGTATGTACGCTGCATACAACTAGACAAGCAGATCATTTTTCTGTCAGAATTATTGAATCAAATATTGGTAAAAAATCCATCTATCATACTGGAATGATACAATATAATTCACTACCAAATAACTTGAAGCTGATTAATAGGATTGAAAAATTTGAAAAGGAATTCAAGAAACATCTACTCCTGTAATATTGACATCTTATCTCATTTTTATAGTTTTCTCGTACAACTACTATAGTTTTCCATTGGGTACCTAACAGCTGATTCAATTAAGAATTATTTTCAGTTGAACTTACTGTCTTCTTTATTTTGTCAAATATATTTATATATTCACCATGTTCTCTGCTATTAACAAATGTTGTTTCTTGGGAATAATAAAGCTGATTGATTGGTTGATAAATATTATGAGTTTTACATTTTTGTATATTCTTTGTCATCACTAAGCATCCACGCAAGAGCTTGAGTACTTTTTGGCAATGTTGAACATGGGAATATGTCAAAGAGAATAATATACCTACTGAATTTCAGGTATGTAATAATTTCACTGGTGGTAAAATCAGAAGATAAACACGATTATTTTGACAAGCTCACGGAAACCAATTCCAGAGCATCGCACATCACTTTACATTCAAAGTTATTAATTTTCATCAATTTTTCAATATAAAAACTAGGTTCTCAGACAATGATAATGTTACAATTCAGAGACAACCCTATCGATGCTACTGTTGACCAATTGTTGACCACTGTATGGATCGATATTGTGTAATTGGTGCGGCGTTGACATTATAACAGTGAAAAATTTTAAATACTAAATCGTAATCAATCATTTTCACTACCTGTTCCCGAAACCTGAGATTTTATTTCTAATTATACAAAAGTACCTTTGTGTGAGAACCAATCATTAAAGTGCTGAGCTCTATGGTTATCAGCTCTGGAATGCTTTGGAATGCCGGGAAAAACTGAACAAGCTAGCCAACAGAAACACAGTCACCCTTCTATGGTTTCCGGGTCATTCCGGAGTCAAAGAAAATGAAGTAGCGGACAAACTCGCTAGGAAAGGAGCTCAAATACTCTTCGTGGGGCCAGAACCCTTTTGCGGGATCAGCAGCGGTACTGTATTAGAAGAAATTAGAAAAGAAGGAGTTGAACAGAGGTCAGACATCTGGCAAAATCTGCAAGGTCTCAGACAGGCTAATATACAACAAAAAATCGAACGCATATGTCAGCCTATGCAAAAATAAACTTCGTATACTAACGGGAGTCCTAACAGAGCACTGCCGGTTGAACATACATCTTAGGAAGCTCGGCTTAGAAGAGGAAGATGAATATAGGTTCTGTAGGGAAGAGGAAACCTCTATCCACATACTCACGGAATGTGTCACCCTACAGAGCCCAAGGCAGACGCGTAGCTATAATTTTTTCTAGGGGGGGATACTCAGTAGCGGAAATTGAATTATAATTTGGGGGTTGCCTAGTAGTACAACGCGTTTCAGTTTATAATAAGTCAACACAAAATGGTGGTTTATTAGCTTCAACTTTTATTAAAGCTGTTTTTATATGTTAGAATATTCAAAATTACCAAAATAACAATTATCAGTCATTCAAATGAACAAATCAAGATAAATATTCTCGATGAAAACATATTTTATATGCGTATTATATGAACTAGATGAAAAAAAAAAAGATAATCTCTCAATTCCACCATTAGATAATATAAAGTAGGTAACTCATCATTCAAAACTCTTGATTAAATCTAATTAACAAAATATCAGGTACCCCCGTGACTAGATTATAAAACAAAGTATTTTACATTGCTTTGAAAACCTCGAGGAAAACCTATCGATAACAGCATCTATATCTATTTCAATATATCTATGAATATTCAATATAAAGTTAATCCGGCATTAACAGATTTTATCTGCAGGAGTGAGTGTATAAATAGTGAGAAATATTTCGATACTGCCATGCTGTAAAGTATCTGAGGCTGTTTCTTTGGGTAAATTATTATAGGTTTATTTTTGGTTTCTCCCCATTCATTTTTCTGAAGATCTATTTCTGATTGCAACAAATCTGACTAAAATGTTTGGGAGAGAATTCATTTTGGTTTTTCTTGTTGAACCGTGTTCAAAACGATTTGAAATCAAGCAGTTTCTTGTGCAAGTTATGACGTCACCAAATAATACGGTTCATTCCGGTTCGAAAACTTTCTAAATTTACTAACATATTCAGAAACTTGTTTTACTAGAATCTTTGAATCACTGGTATAGAACATAATCAGGCATCAACCTGTTGATATATAACATTTTTAATTCATTATTAATTATTTTTTCTGAGTCTTTTACTGTATTACTATTTTTGTGCTTTCAGGGGGGGGGGGCTACTGTCCCCCCAGTACCCCCCTTCATATACGCTGGTGGCCCAAGGGCAAGAAACCTAGCAGCACACGAGCTACCCTACCTAGAACCACCTCATATCCTGGAATTTCTAAGGAATATATATAGGCGATTCAAAATAATCGATACGCCCTCTTGCGGATATTCAAGTAACCAATGGAAAGTACATTGGATGTCTGTTGACATTCAAGCTTCCATGCATTTTATAGAAAGTTTAGTAGTGTGATATTTTTCGAGTTTGCATTTTTCAGTAGAGTATCTTGAACCATTATTGATTGGTTTCACATGTTATTCATGAAAGTTTTCTGCATTTCCCAGAAAATGATTTCAATCAGTGTATAATTGAAAAATATTCTCTCAATTTCGAGATTGAATTCAGTTGCATTTTATTCCCAGAAAAAACTCAAAATATGTTCAATTATTCCTACTAGAGGTAGATCAATTATTACTTTTTCTCTTTCATATAAACACATGTAAGTAGATGAATTGACTACGATATATACATCTCAAATAGCTTCTCAGTGAACTTCAACATCATATTCACTCCACTTATTTGGCAAAATTTATTTCACTACTGAATGGGAAAAAATGGAAACTAATGTAACCTCAAATTGGGGCATTTGTGTTTGAAGTATTGGAACATACTTTATTGAACGAATACCTGCTAAAAAGCTCCCTCGATTAACAAGAGTACACAAATAAACAAGTTTTCTCTGCTCAAATCACTACCAAAAAATCTAAATAATACACTTTTATATAGTTCACCACCTCATCGGATATAGCAAGAGAAGGGCACAATAGATCTTTTAGGTCGCAGTGTATTGGCCCCTTATGAATACATACAATACAACATATTATGCTCAAATCAATCAACCTGAGTACCTGAAGTGAACGGATACAGAACCATAGGGTCACTCATTTTGGCAATGTGGATTGGAATTGCATTAACATTGATGTGAATAAAGTTATCTTCGGTTCTCCACGGCTCCCCAACTTCAATACTCGCGCCCTATCTAGGGTTCCTTGCTCTTAAAGAAAAGAAAGAGGCAAGAGAAAGGCAAAAGACAGACGAACGACAGAGATAGGAGAGGCAGACAAAGAAAGGTATGCACACAGACAAACACATAGACACAGGCAGATAGGTGGACAAAGTGTATTTATGATGGTTTCATTCATGAGCTACAGAATCCTAAAAAGATATCAATGGATGAGAGAGTTCTGGTCACCTTAGAAACAAATAAAGTTGACTTATTCATTTCAATTCATACAGAAAATATGGCAGAAAATAAAAAAATGTCGTAACAGTATCTTAATGGGTGGAGAATTTAATAAAATGATAAGCAGTTGCAACGAAGCAACTTGAGTTTCATCTTAAACTCTAAATGAAATCTTTGAAATTTCGGATTTTTTACTCTATGAAAGTTATTACAATGATCGATATTATTATTATGAAATGATAAACCAACCTGTGTTTTGAATTTGTCAACTCCGATTGGTCCGATACTGGACTATCAGATCCGAGTACCTCCTCTTCTTCATCTTCTTCCTCTTCCAACTCATCTTCTTCACTGTACTCATCCTCATGAGATGGTACTACTGGTAATGGTCCAGAAGGAATGTATGTCTAAAAAAAAATATCGACTGCTAAAAACCTGTATCAATTTTTCAATGTTAACGCACTGTGTCTCAGACCCGAGTTGTACAAGTGTATAGCAACTGTTTAAAGAGTGAGATGAAAGAATTTTGATATCATTATGAATCTCCCAGAATGAAATGGATGCTAAAATAAAGTATTATGTTCTGAGTGCCTAAGGCATGAAAAAAGAAACGAAGGTAATCTGATTGTGAACTTGAATCCTATTGATTGTGTTAGAGTTGAAGAATTATTTATGCGGTAACTATTAAGATAAGTAATATACTTGTCAACTCAACCAATCAGATTTCCATGGACCAACATTTTGATTGTAGAGTAATCTAGTACCACCATTATAGTAGAAAATTTAGTCTGGTTGAGGCTGAATGACCTAGGTCAATAGCCAGTAGAATTGAGTAATAATAGTAGAGGATCCCAAGTAAGGTCGACTTTTACTCATCTGCTTACCGGATGAAAACGATGTTTCATCAAATAAAATATGTTTCTGAATATGTACGTATAGGCTTGCCAGAAGAAATATATTCATGATTATAATAAACAAAAACTTTTAAAAAATATATATATATATTTATTCAAATTTCACCGACTTGCTTAACTAATGAGTGAAATTCCAATGGATAGTATACAATATATAGAATATTGAACAGCTAGGTTGCCTATATTTTTCTGGTCCCTATTACCTGCCGTGTACAAACAGGCAAGTTGTTACCAATAACTGCACCGATATGCTTACCACTTGTGGAATATATCAAAATGAAGGCAATTTTATAAGGAATAGTGTCGTGCAAAATCCGTTCATGAATAAGCATTGCGGGTACTATTTAATGCGATAGAGGGGGACGAAGTACATTAGGTGTGCACGACAGAGCCGAAGAATGTAAGAGAGGGCGCATGCTTTCTAGTAATAGTTTAAAAATGGATGAAACCAAATGCATTTGGTCAACGTTTGGGAGCAAACAGTCCGTTTGAAAACACGTGTCTTGTGGAAATATTAAAAATGACGAAGAAGTGTTTTTTAAGCAAATCAAGTGATACCGTGCTAAATTTCACTGGAAAAATTTTTAAAAACTTATTTTAAAGTACTATTTATACTAAAAATAGGAAAACTTTGAATAAATCGAGAAACAGCCAAAAAAAGTCCTTGAAACAGGAAGAAAAAGAAAACGTTGATCGAAAAAAACATTGTTGTTCACGATTGGACTCGTTATATCAGTGCAATCTACATCAGGTTATTAGATTATGATAGTTTATGGGTCGGTCATAGTGATCATAGTCATATTATAGTGGTAAACTGTTTCAATTTGTGATTTCCTGTGCTTGTCATAGACTTTTTTTCGTCTGTTCTGGACCTTATGCTGAAGTAAAATGCCGCATTGTGGGTCTCGACTTGACAGGGATAAAATGGGGTTTTCGGTCCAAAAAATCTAGACCACCAGTTTTTGACCAGTGAAAATGACTTATCCAGGAAAAGAAGAGAGAAATGGTTAGATGCAATCAAACGAGACTATCTCACTGATTCAAAGATAAAGTATCAGAGAGTCTGTAGCAGACATTTTATAGAAGGTATACGTCCTTCAAAGGTAGATTTATGCAGGAATTGAAGTCTTGAGAACATGAATCATCTCTTCCAAAAGGACTTCGTTGGTGTATTATTTTAGTCATAGTAATAATGAAGGTTGAAGGAATCTATTTAGGACTTTAAACTCGGGAGTTATAATTAGTGTAGGTTCAGATTCATTGAAATCAATCACAGTTTTCTTTTTCTTCCTGTTTTGAGGGCATTTTTCTTGGCTGTATCATTTATTAAAACTATTTAGATATTTGGTATGAGTACGAATTTTAAATGAAAGGTGTAAAAAAAATGTTTATCAAAATCCATCGCAGAAACACTTGATTTGTATGAAAAATTCTTCGCCATTTTGAATATTCCCACAAAACACGTGTTTACAAACGGACTGATTGCTCCCAAATGTTTCTCAAAAGCATTTGGTTTTATCCATTTTTATACTATGAGTAGAAAGCATGCGCCCTCTCTTACATTCTTTGGCTCCGTGCTCGTGCACAGCTAGTACCCGCAATGCCTCTCGTCATACATCGTTGTTTGCTCAGATTTTTCAATTTAAAAGCCTGGCAACCCATATTCGTCAACGGATTCTGCAAGGCAACTTATTCTATATATTGTATGCTTTCCATTAGAATTTCATTCATTTGGCAAGCAAATATATTTTTATTCATCATAGTCATGCACCTATTTTTCATGGCAACCCTAGAAATAGGTACCATACATGTTCAGAAACATATTTTATTTGATACAATATAATTTTTATGCGGTAAGCAGATGAATGAAGGTCGATCTTACTTGGGATCTTAGACTATAATGATTGTATTTCATGTGTATTCAATTCAATAAAGAATGATTATTATTATTATAATCTGGTGATCTTTTCGATTTCTTTATTGATTGAAGTCAACTCTTTCATCATAAAAAATAGAGAGTGGGTCCTAATAAATTTCAAATCAGCGTGTATCGACATAACATTGGTTATTTTGAAATCAATGCGAATCTACATTAATTTTACTTCAAATGATAATACAACTACTGAAATTTAGTAGCGTCATAAAGTATGGGCAACAAATCAAGCTTTCTCATTTAATTTTTTTTATATAAAATATCCCCAACTCAAGTAATCATTTCAAACAAAAAAGATTTTCTAACTCTGCTTACAAGATGCATGAGAAACTTATTTGGAATCATGTTATCAGGGATGAACTTTGATTTTAGTTGAGGTCTCAAAAATAATGTCCGCAATCTAACCTAACCTGACCTGTCATCAAATACATAATCATCAAATGAATCATTTTCAATTATTTTGTTTCATTCATACCTGTTTGTTATTTTCATAACTTAAATCGTTGTCTGATACACTTTTTGGAATTTTAGGCAAAGGTCTATCAACAGGAGCTCCGTTATGATTGTGAAGGCTATCCGTCCTGGGAGGAGGTAACGGAGGAGGTTCATCTTCTTCTGATTCAGAAGATTCTTCCGAAACATTAGAGGAAATATTATTACTAATATGTACATTATTCTCCTAAAAATACACATAGGAATAAGCTTCAAAATACAATACACATAGTTATTGTTACCTTGCTAGGGATTTGTCAAGGTCTTCAAAGGAAAGAGGAATCTGGGATTTAGGAATCATGGAACAATCATGGGAAAGAGTACTTTTTACATACCTCTTCTGAAGTGCTGTTTTGATCAAGTAATAATTTAGTACCATCAATAATAGCTTGGTAGGAAAATTTCAGTTGTTCTGGCGTTTGGATCAAACCCATCCGGTATTTTCTCATCTCAAGCAAAATTTCTTTGACATCCACAGAATTTATTCCATACTTCTCAATCTGGAAATATGGGAATTTTGTTAACAATACAAAAACCATTGATATTACCACATCATAGCAATAATAGTAAATAAGTTTTCTTTTTCAGAATTTGGTGACGTGAAAAAGTGTTTCTATAGCTATACAATTGAGTCGGCATTTTCAAATTGATAATCTATTTTCAAATACTTTTACGAACCCAAGTGTTCCATAGAATATTGCAAGGGCAGGGTTTGTCAACTTATAATTTTCCTCATCAAATGAAGAAATTATATCAACAGAGTAATTATGCAGAGTATTTTCCATCTGGCGACGAAAGGTTTCATACGTCGCTCACTTGTTATCAACTATTTTTTTACAGAAATCTACAACATGCAATAGCTGATATTAATATCAATAGTTAATCTTTTATGACTAATAAGTGAACCGACCGTCAGCTGCTCAAGTAGTGGTGGGTGCGGGTGTGGGAGGCTGCGAAAGAGGTAAAAAAAGTTAAGTAACAATACGCTGGCTGAAATTTTTTCCATAAATAGTTGACGTCATACTGAGCAAAAAAATATTGTCAGCTGCGTCGTGGAGGGGGGATTATGCGTCAGCTGCCCGCATAAAATAGTTATAATACGCCGAATGTAATTTAACTACGTGATTCTTCAAATAATTTACAGTATGAAACAACAGCTTGTACGGGTTCAAAGCGATAAACGATGTCAACGCTACACGAGCTGCTACCTTCACGAAAAATTATCAAATTAATGATAAAAACGATGTCCTCAAGTGGAAAAACCGTATCGACACTTCATATATAGCTCACCTTTGGAGCCATGCTCACCTTCAAGACCCTTCTCAATAACTCCCACGGACTGGGGATGGGAAGAAAAAGAAGACAAATATGTCTTCCAATGGTTCGAAAGAGATCAAGTACCCCTATCAGTCACCAGTATAACGGATAGCAGAGAAAATATTTGCGGTATGCATATTTAATCTCATAAGGTAATTAGTAGTTATAAATTTGGCAGCGTCGTAATAATATATGTGGTTATGCTCGCATTGGTAGTTGAGGAATAAAGAGGAAGTTATCAACAAATATCACTATTGCCACGTGAGAATGTTTATGACGTCATCGAGAGCTGGCTAACGAATGATCAAATACTATTTATACTCGGAATGATCAATACAAAATAGGTATGTGGGGTAGATGAGCCTATTTCAATGAAAAATTTAATTTCATTATTTCGAAGTACTAACCCTAACTAGGCTACTATCGTGAGCCGTTTTTTCCTCAGAACTCCTTTCATTTTTTTTAATGATTATTGAAATTCACGACATTTCATAACATGAAAAATGCGGTAAACCGCGTGACGTAATCACCCGTGAACAATCCAATGCAATCATATGAGATTCGACTGACGTATGCATTTTCTATTTCTGTGAGACAAGGGCAGGACCATTTCTGATTGTCATTTTCATCAAATTAAAAAATGAATTTCCTAGACTGACTACTTACTGCAGATAACAGAGAACACAACAGACAACTGAAGAATCGGATAATCTGAGGATTATCTACGAATATTCGCATCTTGACTAGATGAAACAAGGATTTGAAGATGAAGGTGACACACGCTATCGAGGTTAGGAACTCTAGGCATTACGCTGTTGCCATGCTTACAAAATAATTTGGGTTGAAATAAAATCTCGATCATTATTAGGAAAACTAGGATATTTTTATTGGTACTGAAGCATCTTATTGCAAGTATATAAGTATTCAATAAGTGATTATTAGGGACCAGGTCGAACTATGCGGCGAAACTCTTAGGGTTAGGGTTCACACTGTATATATTTGCGGCAACGAAACGAGCCGAGTCAGACAAACCAGTTTTATTTTTCCCAAACTTTTTTTTATCGATTGGAGCGCACGAAAGGGAATCCTTATAATGTTCAAAGAACATCGTGCGTTCTTAGGGAGGATAGGGACAGGAGGTAGGTATTGGAATTTTTTTTGAATTTTTGGAGATTATATGTTGTTGGGAATACTTCCACAGGCAATGAATTCCAGAGCCTAGCCGTTCTATGGATGAAGGAGTCTTGATAAAGTGCTGTTCGACATCTTTCGAGGTTGACAACGAAAGGATGTGCTGACTGGGCTTGTCTAGTTCGTCTGATTGGTATTGCTAGTGAAGGGATGATTGCAGAGATTTCCGAAGAACATTTCCCGTGGAAGTATCGATAGAAAAGTGAAAGGTCGCCGACCTTTCTACGGTGTTCCAATGATGTCAAAGAGTGAGTGAGTGTGGCATCACCCACCAGGCGAATGGCTCTTCTCTGGATGGAATCTAAGAGCATCAGCGTATGTTTTGGTGCTGAACCCCATATGTGGGAACAGTATTCTAGAACAGGCCGTATATGTGCTTTGTAGATCATTAGAAGCTGTTGAGGTGTAAAGTAGCTTGCTAGGTATCTGCAAACTGACAGATCAAACTTTAAATTTTGCCACGTGAATGATTCACAATTGAATGGAAGAAAAATAGGAACATAGCGGAGTCCACTACTTAATTGTTATGGCGGCTCGCTGGTCGAGCGCGTTAAGGCGCTGAGTTCGTATGGGGACTCCCACCACGACCTAGGTTCGAACCCTAGTTATGCCATGGATGTTTGTGTTTGTATGTATATCTAACCCCACACAAGTTTCGACTTATGGGGCGTTTGGTCCCAGTGCTGGGACTAACGAGGTATGCAATTGAAAAAAAAATGTTATAAGCATCAACTCATCTGACAGATCAGGCACACTGCTACTCAAATAAACGTATTTCAGCGCAGTTGGAAACCACAAAATTCTATTCAATATCAGACACTTCGCAGGGTATAAAAGGAATTATTAATCGTGGGTGACACTCTCTGATACGCAATGAATCCAAATTCACTAGGATCACGAAGAACGACAATTTCGTGAAAAAAGTGAACAGACTTTTTCGACGCTCTAAATAAAACCTGGCGTAGGTACCACACGGCAAATAGTAAACCGAAATATTAAGCTCCAGTGCAGTACTCGTGGGGTGGTGATAAGCCAAATCCAGAAATGAAAAGGATGAAATTGGAAGGTTGTATGCTACTCTATATCAGTTTCGCTACAACTATTCTTCTGTGAATGTTAATACTGTTTTCATTGGTCATATTGAATCTCATAAGGTAATTACTAGTTACAAATCTGGCAGCGTCGAAATATGTGGTCCTACTTTTTATGCGGAAACCAGAATTCAGATAATGATGACTTTCGGTCGGTTCATGACGTCATCGAAGCTGGCGTTTTTCAAAGGGCCGAATTTCATTATTGAAAAAAATATGTTTGCGATGATTTAAAATAACGAATGATTGCATCAAATACTATTTATACACGGAATGATCAATATAAAATAGGTATGTGGCGTAAAATCGACTAGTGTGTACATCATCATTTACAACGTACCTGAGCTAGTAAATGAATAAATAAATAAATACATGAATAAAAAAAATAAGGTGACTTACAAGTATCAGGCAGGAATCCACAAGGCAAAACGTTCCAGATCTCCCAATTCCTGCAGAACAGTGAACAATTGCAGGACCAACGGTCGATTCCAATACTCCAGCGTTTCTCACTTTACGTAAGAACTCTAAGAAAACGGTCGGCGACGTAGGTACCCCAAAATCCGGCCACGTTATGTAATGGTATTGCAATATATCACGAGAATCACCGGTTTCTGTATCAGTCAACCGGAATACCCTTGTCAAATAGTATGAATGATCTTGTTGTTCTGTGTATTCAACAGTTAAACCTACATCTTCCAGTTGCATTTTGTAATCTGAACCGATTTTAGGCGGCCAATATTGAAAGCATTTGTCTTGTTTCTTTTCCACCAGTTTATTCAACATCACTATCTGTGAAACAAACGATAGGACATTTTGAATATTATGCATTTGTCAACAACAAATATAAAATAAGAAGATGCCCAAACCATTTAAAAAACTTTCACTATTTTTTCGAGTTCTCAAAATTCCTGAAATATTCTTCATTTAAAGTTGGTAAAGTATGAAGTGAATACCGGCTGTTAACGACTTAACGAGTCTATTAGAAAAGTCGTATCTTCTAGATTAGGTGTATCAAAATGATATTTGTAGGTGGATGGAATATTTCACCGGAAATCGCTCTGCTTTGAATTTTTGTAATATTTTTCGGATTCTGGATCAGAATGTGATATTTTCAAAAGTTTTTATGTCTACTTCATTTCTTCAGAGTCACTTTTATTATAGCATCTAGGTGGCCATGATCGGACGTAAACTTTTACCCGTATTGCTGACTAATCACAAATGAAATTGAAATATTCTCTTTTTATTCAACAGAAAGCAACTGCTTTCCTGGCTATATGCCACGACGAACATTGAATTACATCTATTGAACACCCACGATAAGAATTTGAAAACAAAATCTTCTACTTTCCTGGCTATAAAAAAAAGAAAAAGACAAGTTGGTAAAATTACATTTTTGTTCACCGATTCGAATGTCCTCTAGTGTGAATCAATATAATTATTATTTACACAAAATTATATTCGAAAATAACCATGGCATTATTGAGGATTTAAGCACCTAAAAATCGACCGAAAAATTCTTGAAAAATATGAAATTGAAAGGTATTTGAGTGATAATTCTATTTAAGAATTTAAAAAAATTGTCCACTCGCTTATTACTAGATTATGCTCGTCAATTGCACTAATATATCTAAACATTTTTTCTTTTTTTTTTAGATAGATAGATTTATTCAGATTGATAACATTTTCAATATAACATTATACGAAGTCAAAAAAAAAGAAGTACATCATGTTTAACAATCTGAGGCCACCTAAGCTGAGCTTGTATTGTGGAACTTCAGACTGCGAAAGTCATGAGTATAGCCCTCAGACGTACATACATACATGGTGGTAGACATCAACATTTTAATTTCAAACTATAGATTACAACTGTAATAACAATTAGACAAGTATAGTAATAATTATTATTGATTATTTTTTGATGTTTCTGGCAAACAATACATACTTTCAATCTCATCAACGTCATTTTGTACGTCTTATAGGGGAGTGGAAAACGTATCGTAAATCGCTTGGGTGACATGACTAGAATTGTTACCTACCATCTCCAGATCATGAATTCACTTGTCAAAAAATCGTCTTGTGCGTTTGAGGAGTAGGGGGTAGTTTCGAAAAAAAAAATGTTATTTACCCTGTCAAATCTCAATTCCGCGTAGTCGACAACATTATACAAGTTGAGTCAAAAATGTGAGCCTTCTGGAGGTGATAGTATATTGAAAATTGAGTATAGTTTTATGAATAAACTAATGGCCCAAAATGTATATTAAGGGAGATATATCTTTCCAAAGTTGATAAAATTTAAATAATTTTCCAGCATAACTTCTGAACGGAAAAAGCCCTCAGATTGAAATTTCGTGCAATTTTATCGTCCAATTGATATTTGTATTTATGAAGGTGGGCGTCATATTGAACATTCATTATGAAGAAACGTTCTGCTTTTGTTTCCACTGCCAACTTTATATTACAATTTGATCAAACTTGTACTATAGGAATATCTGGTAGCATTATTTGAGAGAACATTTTTTTCTTCGAAACTATGCGTTAAACGAAATGTTTACAAGAGTAATAAAATGAAGGTAATTGATTAGTCTTGAAGCTCAAAAAATTTCAGAACCGTATTATGACCCCTAAAAAAGTTCTGAAAAAAATGTCAGGGGGTGAGGGTGGTTTAACCCTTCCACAATTTCTTTTAGGTTTCTTCGATTACCAAGAGGAAAGTACTCCTCTGAAATACACTATTGCGAAATTTCATCAAATTCTTTTCACTCATTTCTGAGGAGCGTACAAAAATGTGTTTTTTACTGTGAACTTTGAAGCCTTCTCACGGACAAACGGTACATTTTGGCACATAAATAAATTGGGTCCAATCAATTCATTTTGACCTCTATACGTGGTAGCTCTGTGTCCCAGCAATTTTGGGACACCCTGTATACGCCAAAAGAAAGTTTCTCCCGCAACATCGCTTGTAAGTCATTGCGCATGCGTCGGAAGCACAGAACTCATAACCTTCATATCTTACGACTAGAATGTGTATCCAATATGGCGGACAAACGAATCATGCTGCAACACTGTAAGTGAATCATAAACAGTAGCGGCGTTTAAATTCGCGGCGGAATGTAAATGGACGCCAGTGGCGTATTTCGAAGATAAGATAAAAGTATTATTATGGTATTATTATATTATGAAACTTGGATGATATAAGTGAATGAATATGCTACTCATTTTTTCCACTCTACATGTCTGATCTTAGTTTTTGATATAGGAATTCACTGCACATATATAGAATATATTTAAAATAAGGAAATTTCTCATATCATTATTTTGTACATTTCATAACATTCAATTGACATAGTTCATGGTATAAATATAAGTATCACATTCCACTGTATAAAATCACTGCATGTGTTCATTTCAAAGGAATTATTTCACTTCAAATAGATATTGAAAGGCTATATGCCAATAAGTATAAACTTTATAGAATTCACATTTCAATGACCTTGCTTCACTGCATTTTTCATTGTGCTGGAACCTGAAGAGGATGATTTCATTAGGCTGAAAAATATGAGGTAGGTATCTCATTGAAGGTACCACAAATCACTCATAGAGAACATAGAATTATACCCTGAATTGAATGGTCTTTTCCTTAGACTGCTCTCATTAAACTTCTTGAAGAGCTTTCAGAATCATATATTCCTGATGGATCAAAAACAAACAATTTATCATGTGAAGACAATGTTATTACATCATATAGAAATTCTGGGACTGTGTTTTCAACAGCTTCAACTGAAAGCAAGAATGAAGATATAATGTCGGTTTTGAGGGTAAAAGTGCACTTATCATGCGATGGGTTTTTTTTCGAAAATTTTTTTTGGTACTTACGTATTTTCGTCTGAAAAACACGAATTTCATAATGAAAATGTGAAGAAACCACTATTTATCGAGATATTTCAAGAAAAAGTTCGAAATTTTGCCTTCTTTTCCCCCTTGTGTTGGATGCATTTACAGGTACTTGCTCTTATTATTTTGTCATTGGACACTTTATAATAATATACTCATGATGTACTTCACTGACACATTTTAAGATAGAAAATTCAACAGGAAATATGATTTTTATGGCGAGTTTTTCCTATTTAGTGAGCAAGCATACCAGATGAAGGCCATTTAATCCATATGCAATCCAAATACGAGATGTCAAATGTCAATAGATTGCTTTGAAATGACATTACACACGCCATTATTTCAAATGATATTCTTCCTTCTTTTCACTAAACATGGATAAATCACAAAAAAATCATATTTCTAGTTGACTCATATAATAAAAAAAATGTGTCCAACTTTGTGTGATATATATAAATTATCCAATGATGGAAAAAGAAGGGCAAATTGTTCTAAATGTGATCCAGAAGACAGGCGGAAAAGATGGTGAAATTTGTAACTTTATAGTGAAATATCTTAATAAATAATGGTTTGTTCACATTTTCATTATGAAATTCGTGTTTTTCAGACGAAAATACGTAAGTACCAAAAAAAATTTTCGAAAAAAACCCCATCGCATGATAAGTGCACTTTTACCGTTTTGAGTTAGGCATCAAATCTCACCATGAATTTGGTCTGAAGAAATCCATCATCTGTAAAATGAATTGTACAGATGTTCAGCTGATGGCCATTCCAAGTTCATGTATGTATCCCAAGACCATTATTTGTAATTGGATTCAAGAAACGCCGAGTCCATGTTATGTGATAGGTACAGATAGGCAACAGAAGTATTTTAGATAGGTACTTATAGAACTTTTTACTTCGCCCTCATGTTCAACAAGGAGTTATACAGTCTTGAACATATCACTTCATCACAATAACCAAGTATAAAATTAATATTACCAAAGATCTAATAATAATATTTTTGACTTTTCTGAAATAAATTCAATGACAAGCAGTCACACCTGACCGCTAATAAAACTGACAACATGTCGTTGTTTGTGAACAAACCAATGGAAATGCATGACCTACCAATAGTTTCTCTCCCCTCCTGTATTGCCATGTAAGTCTGAGATTAGTATAATTTGACCCATATCTCAATGGCCACGTTTTGTTCAGAAATTTCGCATGAAACCATAGGATCGCGCGCTCTAGTCGTAAAGATTATGAGTTATGTGGTCGGACGCTAGTGTTCTGAACCAATGGCGCAAACCCTAGTGTGAATTGAACCTCGGATAATTATGTAGAAGAAAATGAAAACAACTTATGCAGATGCATTTTTTAGACAATCTATATGATATCAGAAAAGGTCAGCAGATTCAACTGTCAATAAAATGTCATGGTTTTAATATTTTATATGTGACGAAATAAAAACTTTAACAATTACTTTTGGAATGATGCATCATTGAAGTAGAGCACATTGAAGCCTTCATGGCACAGAAGACACTTCTTTATTTTTCAAATATGCTTTACATTAACAACAATGAAGACAATGCCATGTATTACTGCAAAATAACATGGTTGTCTAATGATCAATCAATATTATTTGTATTAAAGATACTAGCCGCCACATTTCAATAGGCAAATAACAGATGAATCTAGTAATTTTGCAGTGGGATCTTGTACTATAACTCCAGCATTCCCTATACCTAATTGAAACCTCCATGAAGTTATTCAACAAAAATCAAGAAATCAATGACACATTTTTGCCATTGTTGCTCTGAATGAAAAACCTTTTATAATAGGTATGTTTGAAAATCCCCCTAAAAGTGCACTGTAATGTAGTGTGGTGTAGTGGAAAGTGTGGAAGTGTAATAACTGATTTCATCCTCCAGACATTAGTGTTCTTCCAGACATTCGATCAAAAGCTGCATATTTTGTTTTTCAGAGAGACAATATACTTTATTATCATAAGAAATTAGATTCTTATTGACAATGTTTGCTTATGTTTGAAAAATATCAAATATCAGGGTACCTGTCTAATGCATACTGGTCAATAATTGGAAAAATAATAATAAAAATTTTATGTACTTACTAAAATAGTATATGTCAATAAATGTAAAAAAATAAAAACGAACTGCTATACATATTAAATACACAACAACACAATTTGTATATAAAAACAGGTAACTAGTAAATAGGAAATCACAAGTGTTAAAATGTGTCAGAGAAAAATTCCTATGAATTATAATAAGCTTTATGTAACAGTAAGTTTTTCACAGATTTTCTAAAGATGTTCAAATTGGCAGTGTTTCTAGGTAGATGATTGTACATCTTGCAGCCATTGTAGATAACAAAATCTTTAATCAGTGATGATTTAGGAAGTGGCAGACTTACGTACAAAGCTTGTGGAGTGACATAGTGTGTTAAATGTGTTCAGATGTTTCCCTATAAAACGAATGGTTTCTAATATAAAAATTGCTATTATCATGAGTGTTTAATGTTCAATAAATAAAAGCTTACAGAAGTCACGAATTTTACCTCTGCACATAAATCTCAGCCCTCTTTTTTGAAGAACAAGAATACTGTTCATGCAGTTAGCATTACATGCACCCGAGAATGGGATGCCATACCTGAGTTGAGACTCAATTAGGGAATAATAAATTATTCTAGCAGCACCCAAAGCCAATTATTTTTTTTTATTTATTTATTTGAGACAATCTTGACTGCAAAACACCCAGGAGATATTTTTTCCTCAAAGCCTGAATGTGTTCCTCAAATCTCAACCTAGTATCAATTAACAATCCTAGGAATTTTGTGTTGTTTATTTTTAATGATGATTCAATGATGTGTGTGAGTTGATTATTTTTGAAATATTGAGATCAAGTAGATTAGAATCACTCCAAACTTTAATACTGTTGATATTATTGTATATCATCTCTTTGAGTTCACTACTGTTCTTGGCATGCCAAAATATTGTGGTGTCATCAGCAAATAGTGTAAACTTCCCAAAATCATTAATATACAACAAAAACAGAACTGAACCCAGCACTGATCCCTGTGCCACTCCACATTTTATAGTAGATCTGGATGATCTTGACAAGGTTTTTACTAGGAACATAGTGTAATACTTCAGTGTAAAAGTGTATGCAGTATGAGGGTTTACAAACAGACCTAATAACTGTTCATGAAAAGATTTTCTGGACATGATAATGTGGACCAATAAATGTTGTTGCTAGAACTAGAACCCAACTATCAAAGGAATTCATCTTAATGAAAAATAATCTTATAGGTACTTTTAGTGAATGCCACTTGTTAACTATTGTGATTTGAGTACTAGATGTATTGTACATTGTCGAATTCAAAACCAATGTACAATGATAAACTTATGAACAGTATAGTTGAACTTACAGCTTTAGTCCCTTGCTCCCAAACCATCAACCAAAAATGACTATAAGTGTTGGCTAGGGGTCCTTGAGTTAATATGTACTGCCTATTTGCTCTTTCCACCTTTATTAAATTGGCATTTATATAATCTGTTGATCCTCTCTTCAATGTAATTCGGCTATGGTCATATGGGCTTACATCTCTATATCTATTCAATATTTTGTTTTGTGGCTTGATTGCTTCTGAACATTTATTATCTTCAAAATTATGTGAACCAATTTTCTGTAACCAAATAAAAATTTTATTCAAATAATGTATGATAGATACTCCCCCAAACAACTGAATCTATCAACATGACATAGAGTCTATCAAACTATACACCTATTGTTACCCTGTAACACAACCAAAAATGTATGTATGGTGTTTTTATTGCATTGGTATTTGCCACCAGTGACCATTTTACTTATATACTTACAATGTTACAAATTATAGGAGGAATTACCTGAATAGGTAGGTACACTGAGTTGTTGATTCCACATAAGAAATATTGTGAATAATTCTAAAACAATATCTGAATGAACCTAAAGAAGTATAATTTAGCAATATGACAAACATGATTCCAATGAATCATCAAGTCATAAGAAAACTAATCAGAATCATAATTAGGTGAACAGTGCAAAAAAATATGGAGGCACCCAATGTAATCCAACATGAGACCCAATAAATGACTATTCAGCAAGTGAAACATACTCAGAAATAATTAATCTCACTGTATTTCTCAGGTAAACACCTGTTATGAATGTCTCAATGGTCTCTAATCACCAAAGGCATAAACTAAAGAATAGGAAAAATAAAAACATTCAAGAGGAAATCTGATAGTTAGCAGGTGGACTCCAAGAGATTGAGGGAAATTTCGTTCCTAACCAACTGATAGAATCAATTGACTTCCAATGTATGGACAGCAATGCCTACATGTCAAATGTAAATTCAATGTATTAATGTATTTTTCATAGCATTGATAACATACCTGAAAGAGCACTTGCCACTTATTTTTAGAATTTAACTCTAAATATTCTGTTTCAATATTGTTACCAGATGTCATTGTTGATTTACAAATGAACTTTCAAAAGAAACCTGAAAACAATAGTTAAGGCACTGTCTGAGACAAATCTTGAAATGAAATATCACAAACCCTCAGAAATTTCCACGAATCATTCCTGATTAGTAGAAGATATGATAAAAACAGATAAATTTTCAATTATAATAAACAAAGAAAACTTCATACAACAGTTTTCTGGTTTCAAAACACTTTTTGAGAAATAAAACTAGAATGGGAATTTAGGAATTGTCTTGTCTCTACTCCGGTGTCATGTTGTCAAACAAACGTCGTTTTCGGTTGTCGTTGTCCATTGTCAAATGTCAATGTCACTGACAATGTCGAAAGGGTTGCACAGAGGGTTGCCAATTTGTGACTTTGTGAGTTATTAATTACCATTGTCAAGTCAGTCAAGTCTATTTTGACCGCAAGTTTGAGCGGGCATATGTAGTTTACATACAGTTCATTGATATACGTTCAGTATGAAGTCTGACCAGCTAGCTGTTTGGTAATATCGGTGACGTTTTAAACCTGCCCACAAAGTTACCACATTAACTTCTTGTGAAAGTCGAGTCAGCTATTGACCATTCTGGTATCACCACTGTGGTCAGACGAATGACTTGACACAGTTGTTATTTGAGACTATTGAGAGATATTTCGTGTGAGGAATTTTGTAACAGTCAATTCTGAGTAAAATGTGAATAATCGGAGGTCACCACAAGAAGTAAATTATTCAAGAACAGGACAACTATAGTTTTTATCAACATTACAAGGCCGATATGTAGCAAATAACTAATAGCGAATTCCATTCGTGAACCTGGTGGTAGTGGTGGGTGGTGGTGCACATATGCTGGTTTTGCGCCAATTTCGCTCCCACTACGTTAGTTCAATGACTGCTAAATATCTGGACTGTCTGACGGCACAGCAGACAGTCCAGATATTTAGCCGCCATTGGTTAGTTCTCTCCAAATGGAATACGAAATAATATAATAAAATTTTATTGTTGGAGGTTAAATCGTATAAATTTGTTTGTCTTTGTTTATAACTTGTCCGCATCCTGAAATTCTTTCTTGACTTCAATTAAGAACAAAGTAGATGTTTCATGGAAATAATTTTGAGCAGTTTTTTTAAGTACCTCATCCTCATTGAATTATAGTGCAAAACACTCAACAAAATTATTAATTCTGGGAAGTAATCTCTTTCATTTTCTTGAAACCTCAAAATTTTCATCACAACTATTAAATGATAATAATAACTTGAATCCCTTTTTTAATGAATTATCGCAATAATGTACGCAGCTGGACATTGGAATAATTTTATAATGCTAAATTTTGGCGGTCATAAATTTCAAAGTGACAGTGACAGAAATTCGAAATAATTAAAAAAGCGGGCGGGACGACTATGGTGTTTCGTCACATTGTCAGGGGGGCAAACCCAATGAAACAAAATATTGAAAACCCCAACAGCTGTCAGTTTTGTGTCCGGACTCTTGTCTAAGGTATAATATACAGGGACTCTAATTTTTGGTAGGGTCCCTTGATGGAAATTGACGTTAAAGTCATCTTAACAGGGTACGGACAGATCGTGTAGTCTAGAGTCCCTGTATATACTTTAGACAAGAGTCCGGACACAGCTATACCTCTGTCCTTTTCTGTTTTCAAAAAATGCATTGATGATTGAATAAAGGAATAAGACATATATATCGAGCTCTGTCTTTTCAATTCCCCTAGGATCAATGATTGTCAGAAAAAATTTTGAGGGTTAGATTATTTGTCAAACCGTTCATAGCCGTAGGTAGAAGTGAGAAATAGGGCTATTTTGACTAGAATAACTATTAGATTTTGAAATAATGAACAACAGGGTGTTCAAATTTCGAATCGATAATTTTCACGATCAATTATTCCTAAGATACCATTAGATATAAGAAAGATAAATCAAGTGTTCTACGTGGTATCACATATAGTCAAGGAAATATATTTAGTTGTTTTCTGTTGGGATATAAAAGAATGGAAGATATATCATTGTTTCAATATAATTTTAATTGTGTCGGTTTCCCACCTCTTCCTGCAGTCTACATTCACCTGTAAATTTTGAATTCGATCTCAATTGAAAACACCGTGGACTGATGACATAGCACATTGCAATTTCTCTAAATCTTCAAGTCTTGATTGCAGACTTTCAATTTCTTTCCGCATCATCTCATTCTCATTTTCTTTCTCTACGATCGTATCATTCAGTAATTCCCAATACGATGACGACGGAACTTTTTTTTTCTTGAACGTATTTATTTTATAAATTGACGGCACAGCAGACTCTTTCAATTTGAAATCCATCAGCTTGAAAGAATCTCCATCAAAATGGGCCTGAAATTAATCATTTTGGTGCTGTTTTTTCAAGTAAATTTGAATATTTACCTCACATAATTCGGATTTCTTGAAATTAATTTTCCATTCTGGACGTTTCATTGCATTCTTCCATGACATTATCTCTAAAGGATCATTCGGAAAATTGAATAACTTGAATCCCTTTTCTAATGAATTATCGAAATAATGTACGCAGCAGGACATTGAAATGATTTAAAATGCAAAATTTTGGCGGTCATAAAATTTCAGTGACAGTGACAGAAATTCGAAATAATTAAAAAAGCGGGCGGGACGACTATGGTGTTTCGTCACATTGTCAGGTGGGCAAACCAAATGAAACAAAATATTAAAAACCCCAACGGCTGTCATTTTTGTGTCCGGACTCTTGTCTAAGTATATACAGGGACTCTAGTGTAGTCCAGTGTCACACTTTCATAGGAAAGGAACAGGCCTATTTAAGGATTGTATATATATGTGAGATGTATATTGCATGTATTTATCTTATTGCATTTGACAAGGATTAAGGTGGCTATAATTGACTGGTGTAGCAACTCTTCAATTGTTTCTGGAACGAATGTGTCGATCGATTTTAGCATAGAACACAACCAATAAGGGTCGGTAACATAGAAATTCCGCCTTGTTGACATTGATTGTCATAAGTGTCAAAATTCAATATTCGATTTTGGCGCCATGAATATTCCCAGTTTTCGGTTAGTCAAAGTTTCATTCCTCCAAAACTGTGCTCGAAAGTTCGGAAGTTTTGTAGTGCTGTTTGATGTGTTTGGTGATTCTTTTTAGTTTTTAATAAGTTTGTTATCAGAGTGTTTATAAATGGAAGTTTTGTTGTGTTTTGAATTGTTGTGATTTGTAATAGACCAGGAAAATGAAATACTGTATAGTGTGTGGACAAATAAAACTGTTTCTCGTCGCCTTTTTGCGATTCCGAAGGTAATTTTTCCCACATAGTTACGTTTAAAGCAGGATTTGTAAATCCAACAAACCACCGTTTGTGGATGAATGATCGGAATGTGTGTCTATTGTCTATCACTTCGATCTAACATATCAGCCTTCAAATAAATACCTATTATCAATTGAATTCCACTTCTTCTCATCAGATAGTCCATGCATTATTGCATTTTAATCATTACTTATATTCTCATCAGTTCAGTTGGGTTCATATGAATTCAGAATCTACTGTGGAAATTTGTCATGAGAACATTATTGTATTCTTAGGATGACAATGTGAGAAAAGAATGGATTCGTGCTGCTAAATACTTCTATATTATGGTTTTGATGGTTCTGACCATTTTTCAGAAGATTGTTCAGGTGCACTTAGGCTGAGACATGGAGCACTGCCATGAAAACAGTAATTATACCTATTTTTTATCAATTACTTATAGTAACTAAAGCTACTCCTGCTCTGATAATAACTATTATTATATGTATATGGTACTATGAGCCAGATAAGCAGTATTATTACAATATGATCAATGTTTGATACTCAGTAGTTTCATTGTACAGATGACTTTTATTGATCATCTAGTTGGTAGGTAGGTACTTAGGTATATCATATTGTATCTCAATAATCACTGATTCAATATAGTTCTAGGATTCATACAGATCTAATCAATACACCTCCACAAACACTATATTATCATTATAACTGAGGTCATTAATTTCTAAAATATTATTGAACATAGTCAATGTTTATATAGAAATTATCAAAACCTTTGAGAATATAGGAAAACTAGAGTTTCAAATACCCAATAAAACAAACTATAAGTGAAGATACTCACCATCTACACCTTCAATTTTTTTCAGATGTGTACCATTTATTTGTTATTTTTTCCTTGCTTCTAATATAGTTTATAATTATATGTGCTTTAGTTGTCTTATGAATGGGAAACTTTTTATCAGCATTGCAAAAAGAAAGAAGTGACCTTTATATTTTTAATGCTTCATAATAATTTCAGCTATTTTTTGAATATTCATAAAATTATATATAATGACTCATAGTTGAAACTGCAAGTATAGAGAGTATAGAGTAATTTTCCAGCAAAATTGTATCATTATGTTATGCTCCTCTTCAAAATAAATAAGCTATATATCCGAGAATCCGAGGCTATATATCCATGGGAGTAGTTGAATTTCATAAATAAGACAGTGGGGAAAGTATGGTGAATCACCTACCTCTAGGGTCAATTAAAGTGCCTACTTCATTATAATCTTTAAATTGGTTTGTATTGACAGAAAAACACAGTTAGGTATTATTCCTGTCAGTTTGTTTCTAATGAATGAATAATATAGTTATTTGTTTCACTGGCTGGCGTTTCATAGCCTATAGGCATAACTGAGGCTAGGAAACCAGTCAAGGCATTACATCTGCTTTTCTGCCATGTGAAACATATAATTTTTTCTCCAAATTCTTCTCAATGTCATGCAAAGTCCAAATAATCCATCATTTTTTGTTCACCCAAAGTCATTGTCAATTTTGATTACCAATTTGATTTATATTACTTAGAATGTTGCAAAGCAACAAACTTTTTTTGCCTAGGCAGTAAAAGTACACCTTTTCTGCTTGTTCTCCACTTTTAGTGTCATTTGAAGAAAAAATACTTTTTTTCATGAAACTGGTCAGACAGAATGTCCTGTTTGTATACAGTGTGTCCAAGATAATGATGTCTATCATGGGGTGAATTGATGATGGTTTATCTGGAACGAAACATCCTATGGAAAATCTATTATTGTTGTTTTGAAGAGCTTAAAAAGTGGCAAGGAGAAAGTGTCTTCTGTTTTCCTATATCTCTTTAAATAAAAATTATCCCCATGATATAGACTCCTTATCTTGGACACAGTGTATTTTCAAGGGAAATAAAAACACACAATATTTTAAATTTTAATAGGTAATGATATATAATTATGTTGAATAT